GCTGCATAATATTCCATTGTATATATATACCACATCTTCTTTATCCATTCATCTGTCGATGGACATCTTGGCTCTTTCCACAGTTTGGCTATTGCATTTTCCACTAAATTTATTATTGATATCATCTAGCATATACCTTTTCCTAACATATCATTATAGCATTAGTTTAAATAATATTTGTGTGTGAAATAGAAGCCAAAAAACTAAAGTAGCAACAGACAAAAAAATCTCAAATTAGAGCACTACCTTGTTCATTTGGAGGAAAAACATGACCTTGCTACATCTTGTTGGGTATTTTGCTGCTGCCCATTTTTCTTACATGGCTTTTCTTCTTTTTTTGCTTATTAATTACATTACAACTCTGTATTCTACCAAGGAGGATCACACTCTAAAGCAATATCTCAATTATATATCTTCTTTGATTCTTCCTTCTGCCGAAGAATTTGAGCTTTTTAATTATATTTAACCTGAAGACATATATCATGTGTCCTTTCTGAATACATTTTTCTATGTTCTGTGAGACAGTTCTAGAAATTTTTTTCCAACTTTTCTATTTCTACCATAACACTAATGTATGACTTTGAGTTGGGTTAAACACTTGTTTAAATATGCTTTTTGAATAATTTGTTCTCTCCTTTTTTCTTTCTCTCCTTCCTCTGTCTCTTCCACTGTTTCTTTTCCAGATTATTAGTTTATTAAATGTCTTCACACCCCAGAAAACATTGGAGGAATTCCAAGATGTGTAAGTAACAAAACTCATGAAGGAAGAGAGAACACAGCACTCAAAAAACTCAAGGGAAATTGACAAAATCAATGGATGAAATCCCTTGTAGAGATTAAAGGGAGATAAGAGCTAACAGTAAATGAAAGGGATCTGGTGATAGGACAGAAGGTTCTGTTTCTGGTGTTACTTCCTGGAAAGACACTTCTGCTTCTTTCTGGCCTTCCGGTGCTTGTGCTTTATTGTCCAATGTTCTTGGTTCAATTAGAGAAGATTTATTATTTATTATGTATTTTTTATTATCAGTTGATTCTGTGAGCTTTCTAGGATGAATCTATTCACTTTGAGAAATAAATTATAAGAGGGACATGTTAAAAATCATCTTAAAATCTTTATTTCTGTTTCTGTGGTGCCTTTGATTTTGTGCAAAAATAATCTATCTAAAAGTATAGTGACATTAACAGAGGAGAGGAAGTGGATCCTAGTACGTTGTCTTATTTGACACAGATACATTGCATTTAATAGAAGAGGCTATTCTGATTTTTTTTCTTATTTGTAATCATAATACTCAAGAAAGAACTCAGGGAATTCAGGGAAAAGTGAGGACAAGATGAAGGTAGAAAATATAGGGGGAGGGAGAAAAAAGAAAATATATGGGCAGGAACCACACACTAATAAATGCCGCTTCTGCTAGTCACCTTGTGGTAGAGTTACCATGGCTAACATGTTAATTGAGTCAAAGGTAGAGCTGGGAAGTTTGGAAGACTTACATATTTAGGCGGGGATTCTGACCTCTTTGAAGGACTTCACAGATCCTGTGATTTGGAACTAACCTTGTGGATTTACCTTCCAGTTACTTAGTAATGGAACTGATGGATGCCAACTTGTGTCAGGTGATTCAGATGGAATTAGACCATGAACGAATGTCTTACCTGCTATACCAAATGTTGTGTGGCATCAAGCACCTTCACTCTGCTGGAATTATTCACAGGGTAAGAATACCCTCTCCAGAAGTATAATTAAGGTGTTTTTGGAGAAGAGAAAGAGCAATTGTAGGTTATTTTCTTTATGTAGGAAGGGTAGTTGAATATAATGTACTTCTTCATTTCTTTTAAAGATTTTATTTATTTATTTGACAGAGAGACAGCGAGAGAGGGAACACAAGCAGGGGGAGTGGGAGAGGGAGAAGCAGACTCCCTGCAGAGCAGGGAGCCCGATGCGGGGCTCGATCCCAGGACCCTGGGATCATGACCTGAGCCGAAGGCAGACGCTTAACGACTCAGCCACCCAGGCGCCCCTTCATTTCTTTTAAAATAGAATTAACACAAAGTTCACTAATGTATAGAAGAAAATTTTAGCTACACTGTAGCTGATTTTGTTTGCATTTTGTTTCAGCTCTTTGAGAGTCCACTTCTGAGAAGCCTCATGTTTTCTAGCCCCTTGATTGGCAGAGGTCATATGTGTAGCTGGAATAAGACTGTTCGTTTCCATAGCTTGTTTCTGGCAGCATTAAGACAGCTGCCCTGATCTGCTCTTCTGTCAGGCCTAGAAATGAAAAATAAGCTGAAAGGTTTATGTTGCCACAAGGAAAAACCTAACAGATGACAATAAATGACATGTTATTTATTCTAAAACCTCTTCCCAAGATGATCCTAAATTGTAAAATTCATAGTCCAATTCTCTTCTGGGCTTAAGAAGTTTTTGAAGATATCTTAAAAATATCAAAAAACCATTGTAAACTTCTTTGGGGCAGTAATCATTTGCTTCATATAGGGCTTTGCAGTCAAGGGGAGCCCTCTCTGTACTATTGCAAGACTGCCATATTGATTGAGTAGATAGAAATCATATGTTCCATTTGCTGCTGGCTTTTAATTTCTTCTCTTGTTCCTACCGTCAGGATTTAAAACCAAGTAACATTGTAGTCAAGTCTGATTGTACATTGAAAATCCTCGACTTTGGACTAGCCAGGACGGCAGGCACAAGCTTCATGATGACTCCTTATGTGGTTACACGTTATTATAGAGCCCCCGAGGTTATTCTGGGAATGGGCTACAAGGAGAATGGTAAGGAGGCTTCTGCATAGCAGCCACAGAAACCATGAAGAAAATGTGTATACATTTTAGATGGTCAAGGGCAATGTTCTCTCTCATGTATATGAATATATATTTTTAATAGGGCTGCCAACTTTCATATTCAGAAGGTTTTAAAAAATAATACTAGGAAGAATCACTCATAAAAAATGTGAAGGATATTTCTTAAAGTAAGCTTTACTACAAGAACACTAACATGTTATGGCCAAAAAGAACTGTGGATGGAATCTGATTAAACAGTCAAGCAGGTATTGATTAGCACACATGCTGTAGATTTTGAGACAAATTGCTGTTTGGGTTGGAGCTTAGCTCAAAGTGAGTATGAAAACAGGAAGTAGTCTGTCTGTTACATTTAGCCATTTGGCTTCATGGCTCTCTTAGATTGATGGCTCTAGTCCTAGGAAAAGACAAAAAGATGTCATAAGTCCTTGGAGCAAGAATCTTACAAATGCTCAAAGAATAGTCAATTTAGAACAATCCAAATTGTTCAAGTTAGATAAGAGTTTCTTTAATGCTTTAAATTGCTCTGTGAGTAATATTTAGGATAGCAATTACCTAGTAAATTTTTATAAATTCCAAATCATGGAGAAAATATTAAATTTTATATTACTCATTTCATTAAAAAATCTAGTATTCATGAACATTTTAAAAGAAAAGAAAGAATCTTCAAAATGTATTACAATTTGATTTTATTAAAGACTTTATACAACACTTATTAAATGCATTGCCATTTATTATTTTGAAAAGAATACCTCTAACAAGTAATGTAGCATATTAAAAAATATATCTAATAAATTTAAGAATTAAAATAGTTTTAAATTAGGATTGTATATATATGATCAATGTACCTTGCAATGTTATTTTATGTTTTATTCTATTTAATTCCTAGCAGTCTATTTTTATAAATTTTATAAAAATAACTATCCATGTATTTTTATGTGCAGGTGCTAAAGGGTAACTTTATGAAAATTCCCTGGCCACCAAAGTTTTAAAAAACTTCATTGTGTACTTTCAGATTAGAAGAAGGCCAATACTTCTGTGTATTTGTGCAGAGGAAAGGGAGAAGTCAGCTCTTAGGAAGGTCAGGTTCACTTTGGAGAGCGATGGCAGGATTCTGTTACCTTTTAACTTGGAACAGGCAAATCTAGTCCTCTTCCCAAGGTATAATACCACATCTAACTTACTTGGAAAAGAAGATATTTGTATACATTTTGCACAGGTTATTTGTAAAAATTCAAAGGGGAACCAATTTAAAAAAATCAAGAAATCAAGGCTCTACAGAGGTCTGGGGGTAGGGTCTGAATTTGCCTATTATGGAGTTACGGATCTTAGCTGCACAAATGCATGTAATTTCTTCCCTTTTCCTTCCCTCACCAGAAGAGGTTGCAAGTTACTGCCTTAGTGTTTTCACTTCTCTAGATCTGTGAAGGTATAGCTAGCACCCTTGTGCTGCCCTCTTGCCTATGAGTGGAAGGTTATCATGCAGAAGAACCCGCTTGTTCCTCCATCAGGCATGCCCAGCTGTCCTGTGCACCTACCCCGCCTTCCTTCCCCAAGGAGCATTTCAGCCTAATGTTTTTGCCCCAAAGTTCCCTTGGTCCTTACTAAAAAGCAAGTTGGAAGAGGGTAAAGATTGGTAAGAGAAGGTGAACATGTTTGGTTAACGAGTATGACAATTGAGAAATAAACAAAACAAACAAATAAATAGAACAATTTTTAAACACCTTTCATTCTTTTTTTTGCTTTACTTCCAGATGACTCCTTTATACATGTGTTAATTGATCATATCTTTATTCTTGAAATACTTCAAATAGAAACTAAAATTGATGTTTATTTACAAGGATAACTTCTGAAGGAAAAACTAAGTCCTGAACACCAGGGATTCCAATACATCTGCCTTTAAACCACGGTTTCAGCTGTTCCCTAGTTTCTTGGATTTGCTTGCATATACCTTGTTTTGAACCAACCAACCAACTAACCAACCAAACAAACAAACAAAACCAAAGAGAACAAAAGAGTAGTCTCTTGTTGCCCTATTCCACATAACTGAGTGGAATAGAAAATGGAAACAGCCACCCCTCCAGGTTGATTAAAATTATTTTTGCTACATCCAGCAAATGGTCAAAAACCCCTATGTCTTTTAGCCGCAGCCTGCTATGGAAATAATTTTGGTGTAGCTTCTGTGTTTCCATGTCACCGCTTTATGGCACTACAAAGGCAATCTAAGGTACCCATAAAGTAATTTTTAAAAATTAATTTGAGTTCTCATACTAAACATTGTTAATGTCATATTACAGTGCTGGTTTTCATTTGGGGGTAACTTTTGGTGGGAGACAAAAATTGTACCTTCTAATCAAACTGTTCTTTTTCCTCCTCCTTCAGAGATCAATTATCTTAGTTAACTTTACTTTCCTCCCTTTTCTTCACTTCCCTCTCTCCTGTTCTAGTGGATATATGGTCTGTGGGATGCATTATGGGAGAAATGGTTCGCCACAAAATCCTCTTTCCAGGAAGGGACTGTATCCTTGTACCTTTTGCTGCAGCTTTACCTGTTTTGTTCTCTCTCCCTTTAAACACATAATGATTTTACCAGGAGAGTAAAGATAGAAGCAAAAAGTTGGGTAAGTGGTATAATTGTGATTGAAAAACGAAGTGATGATTTATATAATCTGACCAGTACTGAATCTACCTACTGCAATGATTTGTTTTAATTAAATTTTCAGTGGGCTTTTTTCCTTTAAATTATTTTCTTGTCTGTAACTCAAAATAGCAATGCTATTTTTTTTCATAAATAAGAGAGGTCACCAAACCCCAAATTATTAAAATATCTTTATCTTTATAATTAGCAAAAGAAGTCACTATTTGCAAGTATTTTCCATCTTTTTTCTAAAACCATTTTATGCTTCTACAACATTTAGGCATAATAATTTTTTTCTCCTTGCTGACATCCTAAGCTTCTTTCTAGAGTTTCATTGATTTGAATTACACTTGACACTATCCAGTCTTAAATAGGTCAATATAGCATATCCTCCTTAAAACATGAACTTCCACATTTAAAAATCATAATTATTATGCAGATTGCCAGAGATTAGCTGGGTTTAAAATAGGCTTGGAGATATGACTGAGACCCAGATAATTGCTTTTCCAGTGAAATTTAGAATTTGAAGAAGTAGTGTTTATTTGAGTTCTACCACTAAGTCCTGTACTAGATTCCATCAGGAATTTCTTGGAGAGATATCTATGATTTAGAATTATTAAATGAGCTGGCATATTTCTGAAATGACAAAAAGTTCATTCTCTAACAAAGTCACATATTAGTGTTTGTAACATACAGGTAATAAAGTTTACATATTAATAGAGAATATACTTTACACATATAGAAATACCCTGCTAACACACAATCATGCAAATCTATGTACAACAGTTGCCAACTTTAACAGTGATAATGCAAGATTGAGTTCAGTATATTTATTATATGTGAAATTTTTTAGAAACTGCCAGTAAATATGTGGTCCATAATTCTATTAAATATTGTATCTGATTAATAAGAAAGCTCTATTAAGGAACTCTTTTATTATATAAAAAAGATTATGGTTGTTATTTAGTAGACTCAATGAGAAGTTTATACCACCATGAGCACTCATTTATGTAGGTATTTATTTATTCTGCTGGATATCAGTAAAATATTCTCTAAATTCCAATAGTAAAGCAAGAGTAATGACATCTTCTAGAACTATACTGTCCATTAGGTAGTCACTAACCACATGTGGCTATTCAGTACTTAAATTATGACTAGTCTGAATTGAGATGTATTTTATGTGCAAATGCATACTAGATTTTGAGGATATAAAAAGAAAGCATATAAAATATCTCAATAATTTTTATATTGATATTAAAATGATAATAGTTCATTTTACTTTTATTTTATTTTAAATTATTTACATTTTGAGGATAAATTATATATCCAAGGTAGTTGATTTGAACACTATTATAATTCACATTCGTATGTAAATGTACTGATTTCATATAAAAGTAGAAGTGTGTGTATGTATGTATGTGTATATGCTTTTTTCTTTGGGGTATAACATATTTCAGACCAAAAAAAAAGGAACTTCTCAATCAGTACTCAAAATGAAGTTGCACAGCTACATCTTTATAATGCACTAGTTAGTGGAAGATAAAAAGTCACAGAATATCTCATTTTCGTGTGGTGTTGTTATAGGTCACTTGTTTCTATGTGCCATGGTTCTCTGAGATCTAATATAGCTCTTCATTTGTCAGGATTACTTTTATCCTATTTTAGCAGTATTAAATTTAAAAGCAAATAAAATTAGAAAAAGCCAAAATACCCTTCAGAAAAAAAGGCAAACAAAAATAATAGCATCATATTGGTAATTCTCTATTCTTCCAATGATTGTTTTCTTGGAGGCCTTTTTTCCCTTTTATTATGGTTTATTTCAGGAAAATATTTGGAACTGAAAGTAAATTGTGCTAAAATCAATACATAGAATATATACCTTGATAAAAGTGATCCTAGAAATTGAATAAACTGTAACACAAAAATTTAGATTGTGATAAGGATTTGCATTCGGTATTCCTTTATCTCAGTGATGATCATATAAGATAATGGTCTTTGATAGCCTACTGCCATATATGATAATGAGCCTGCATACAAACTTAAAAGTCAATGGAAAAGTTACATAAAGACATTTATAGTGGAAAACATCTTGCTTAAGTTAAATTTTACTTAAATAGGAGTAAATGATTTCCAGATAAATCGTGTTAGAAGAACTGCCATCTTTCCAAAAATGTTTCCATTTAGATTTAAATCCTTAGTTCATTTTACTTAAAATTATAATTTAATGTCTTAAGTCATGACCACATTTAAAAATTAAACTGTAGTATCCCTAATAAAGAATGGATTACATGTACTCAGTGTTTTTGAGTGGAACTGTTTCATTAATCTTTACATGAAGTTATTATAAGTTTGTGATTAGAGCTTCCCACCAACAATCGAGAGATCAGAGCATTGAATTAACTTCACTAACCGTGATGATCAGATACAAGTTTCGGGGTTGATGGAGTATTTATGGAGAGAAGAATCATACCAATATTTTAGCATATTTGAAATGATTCCAGCATTTAATGGAAGTAATATCAAAGTGTAACATATGCTAATTGACTTCTTCCAAGATTCTTCAGAGACATAAAAAAAAAGCAATCATAAGTTCCCTTGACTTTGCCTTATAATTATTCAGAGTAATTTCTATTAAATTTCTCTGAGGCTGAAAAATTATATGATAATACTCTATCATCATAATCAACATTATTCCTCTCTCCGACAGAACTTTATAATGTTCTCTTTCTTAATCTGAACCTACAGCAAAAATAGTAGAACACCTTGACAAATTGGGAAATTTCATGAAATTATTAGTGATGACTGAAGTTTTAGCTATTTGCCTGCATTAAAACTGTCTTTGCATTTTGAGAAACACTGTGTAGGTTTCTTAGCTATTGATATGATCCAGATGATATCACAGGTTAGTTTCTTGAGTATGAAAGTGTTGGCAAAATACATACATATATATGTATTTGCTTTTCCATTAATTAATTTGCTGATTTTTTAATATCCAAAGGATTATTTATAAAATACTTGTTTTTATTGTGTGAATAGTTTAATTATACAAACATACACTATTACACACTCGATTTTTATTACAGTGTTATGATTAAAACCTATTTCATAGGCTATATTTTGACATATAGTATTACTAAAAATTCTTCGGCCCATGACAAATTTCAAGTTAGCAGTAAATATATGAGGTCCATTATTTTCTTTAGTCCAACGATAATAAAAGAGGTATCAGTCACTTTGCATTTCATTCAGATTTTGTTTCCTTCAACAATAACTTATAGTAAAGTTATGCTTTCTTAGAAGTTGTGTTTTTCTTTAAAGGGATATTTAGTCACTGACTCCCTCCCGCACCCCAAGCCTCAACTAGGGCATGCCATATTCTTGATTACTGAAATTTCATAATACCAGTAGAATTTTCATATAATACAAATTCTTTCCTGAAGTCTACTTCTTTTAGATATATGCTTTTTACCTTTTTTCTTCCATTCTACTTCAAATGGCAACAGCTTCTTTGAGCAAGCCTGTGAAGTCCTTTATCTAGAGTTCTTGGCCAGAGTTCCCTGGACCTGGGTGATATTAAAAAGAGGCACACTGCATTCATTTGAAATTGCTAGACCTCAAGTATATTATCTCCAATTAAGGCTGGATCAGACTGCTAAATAGCCCCTTTTTCTTTTCCCTCTGAAGACATGAGAAATTTCAGTTAGGATGAAAAGTATATACATATAAACTTGCCAAGGAGCCAAGTTATTAAGGAACACATAAACGATTTGCCAAAAATATGTTTGAATAAATAAAGAAAACATCCTCAAATTTAATAAATGTCATATCTTTTCTAAGCTTGAGCATTAAAATTAGGAATAATCAAAGTAAAGTGAATAAAAATTAGAGGTGTGGATTATTATATCCATCTAATATATTCTCACTCTTTACCTCTTTGAAATAACCATGCTTACTTTCTAATAAACTTTTGCAACTAACACATTACTATAGTCTGAGTCTTTTACCTAATATTAAGGTAATACAGTATTATCTCAAACCATATATGATTTATGACTTTAAATAAAGGTGTGAAGTAAAACTTCAGGCATTCTTTCATACCCATAAGCACTTTGCAGATGATCATTAACATTAAAAAAAATAAGCCTTTTCACCTTTATTTCTTTATACTTGTTTAAAAGACTATATTTCACCATTAATTTGTTTATTACTCTTTTATTATTATTTTGAGAAAATCTGAGTAAGACAGGAATCACTAGAGTGGGAACTCCAGATCGAAGTGATCTAAAAAGATGGAAGGAGGACAGGGTTATAAGAGGAAAATCCCTCTCCCGGGAAGTTGAGACTAGGCCAGAGTACACCAGAGGGCGGGATAAAGCATGATGGTCATAAAAGGAGTTCAGAGAGATAGATTGCAAGGGAGCAGCAAGCCAAGATGGACTTCCAAGGTGGAACGGAAGGCAAGAAATTGAGGAGCTGGACCTTGACCCCTTGATGTCTCAGAGAGTAGCTACTGAGCGCTAGCATTCACAAAGCTCCACTAGGACTACCCAGAAGTTCCCTGTCTCCTGGAAATGCATACAGAAAAGTTTAAAAGCATTTATTTTTCCCTATCCCTCTATAGTTCTGTAGACAACGTACTGAGTGATTTTTTTTTAAATGCAGTGAAATATTGAGGGGGAAGACTACAAACAATAAAACACATTCTTTAGTCATTACTATGATATTCCATTGAAACTGTCCTGGCCCCAGGTGGCCCTTAGGACAGAGTTTGTGAACAGTGATACCTACTGTGTGCAACACTCTTTCTCCCTTCTGCAGTCCAATGAAAGTCAAACTTATACTGGAATAGGGCTCCAAGAACTGGCTTCTGGTCCTGTTCAC